TAGGGAAAAAAAAAATCATCCTATCTCATGAATAAAATGAATCCACCTCAACATTTGTTAGATTAGATTAATAGATTGCAAACTCATAATATTTTAATTCTTCCCATAATAGAATGCAAGCTGATAAATAGAGAAGGTTTCTGGTTTCTATGTCCATTAAGTGAGCAGACCGCCAGTGAAGACACATGGTGTCTCTGCTGGAACTGTAATATATACAGATCATTATTTCCTTAACAGAAAATGTGAAACTGTCAGTGACATCATCGATTAAACATAAAATATTGTGCATGCCCAGACAAAACAATCTGATCTTTTAGCTGATTAATAAATCTAAGTTTATCTCAGTACAAATTCAACTGTTTGTTGGACATATAAACACCGTGGGTTGTAAACACCGGGTCAACCATCATCCACACCTTTTCTCTGCTGCTGTGTCCTACACCAACTGTAGATATTTCTGCTGTAATCTCATCTCTGCAGTGACTTTTCTGTTTGGGTGAAATATGAAACTTTTTCTCTGTTGCACAACTTGTTTTGACATGTCACTCACAGGAATTATTCAAAATAAAGTTTGGTTCCTGTCCTGTTCTTTAACCTGCAGCCCTGAAAAACAACATCAACAACAACAAAGCAGTAAACCTCACACACATACACACCCTGTCACCCTGTCACCCTGTCACCCACCTCCACCCACCATCCAAGCACACTGACACTACGTGCACCCTGTCAAGGCCACAGTGTGGCTGTACCGCAGTTTTTTCGACATTGTGTCACCCTGTGTTTACTGTGTGTGTGTGTGTGTGTGTGTTTGTGGTTGATAAACAGCCCTCTCATGTCTTCTTACTCTTGTATGTTTGCAGGAAGTTCGGGGAGCGCCCTCAGCCACAGCGCCTGACAAGGTGAGTGTTATGCACCATGTTCAACACAACACACCTCTTGTAGCCAACGTTAGCTGTGGTGTCTGTACCAGGGCTGTTGTAGCCAACGGCCAAATCATTAATGTGAGCTGCTGTCACCCAGACTTCGCGAAACATTTAAAAGAGAAGGGCCCAATCCGCGCACACACACGCGCACACACACGCACACACACACACACACACACCAGTAGCTGTGGAAAAAATTAACGCTGCATTGCAATTACCACTTTTCTCTGGTTTTACTAATTATAGCTGTGTGTGACCCTTCGTTTAAATAAAATGAACAATTTTGTTTCATCCTATTAACTACTGACAACATTTCTTCTAAGAATGAGAACCGTGGCATGTTATTGTGCTAAAGCCATGCAGCCACTCCACCTTGTGAAACAAGGTGGAGGTTAGGGCAGTTCCCACATTGGAATATTCCAATGTGGGAAATGACATTCGAACTTGTGCTTTCTGCAACAACGCCAATTAACATTGGGCTTTCCAGCGCTGGGAATCACAACTCCTCAAGATCTACACACAGCCGTGTGTGTAAAGTGTTTGGATTTCCATCAAAAAATGGGAAAATTACATTAAGAGAAACTGTAATTTGCATGTTATGAAATATGTCATTAAAGTAACCTGAGCACGCACCTATAATCAATGCATTATACTGTGTACACAGAACTGTTAGCAGAGGACAAGCCCCCCCCCCCCTTCATTTCACTGAATGGTCCCTAATCAGATCTTACTCATTAACCTAGTCTAAGTATATTTTAGAACATGAGGTAACTGGTTTAGAGTCAGAAACATGCATGTGCAATAGGTATCTATGGATCGTCAGATTCATCGTTATTGGCAAAATCTCATAAATAATTGGGATTCATTTTTTGCCAGTATCACCCAAACCTACTTTGTGAGACTGAGAGAGGGAGAGATTATTCTGCTCCTTATGTTCGCTCTAAGTCTGAACGGAGAACATTGATGGATGTTGTGGCCAGATGTGTGTGTGTGTGTATGTCTGTCTGTCAGTCAGTGTGTATTTCAGGGGTCAAAAAGTGCATGGATGTGCACTTCTCGTTCTTGTGACTTGGAACTGTGTGTTGTCTGATTTCCTGTGTGTGTTTGTCATTTACTAACAAAAATGAGTGGCCACTCCTGAGCTGAGTCTGGTTTCATTAAGAAAGTGACCTAATCGCTGATATGACACCCCACCAAAGTACACCCCTCCAGCACTTCCCACTCCTCTCCTCCACATGCCTTCATTTGTCTGAGGTTTTCACTTTCCAGAAATACTGTGTGGTTGACACAGGAAACAGTCTGGAGCTGAAACACATCACGACTGGTGGTGTGTTTCTGTAGAGCTGCTGTTTTGGTCTTTTTGTTTTTGTTGATTGAACTCATCTGTGTTTATTGGGGCCTGGGTTTTATTTTAGGGAACATTTTGAGGACCAACTGTTGTTCATGGGAGTTAACCAATTACTATAAATTAAAGAATAATTATGAAACAAACCATAACAGTCTGATCAATGATGGAGACGGCTAGGTATTGGTCAATGAATGATAAGTTAGTTAAACATTATCCTAATCTTTAAAAACACTTATACACGTCATTATTCCAAACACAAATATACACTTTTAAAACTTAAAGTTAAAAAGTTGATCTGAAAAAAATCAGCACTGATCTTTATCTTAAATTTTTTGTCTTTCCACTGGTTTGTCCCACTGAAGTCTGTGAGTTGGTGTTAGTGTGATCGTCATCATATCAGCCTTTTCTGCATTGACAACATTTGTTTGTTTCCCCTCGCTGCTGCAGAGAATGGTCCATATTGAAACACATAACAGTGGGGGGTCTCCTGTTGGTCCCAGTGAGCTACAGACGCTATGGCAGATGTACAGGACAGATGTTGGTCTGTTTGAGTAAATTTGACTCCTTCTTTTTGTTCCTCTAACACACACCCACACACACCCCAACCCTGTTGCACTTGCTCTTTTGGTTGAACCTTTCTGAAACAAACAGAAAGAGCCCAGTGTGGCCACTGAGTCAGTTACTTCACTTAACTGAACTTAATGAAATGTAACAGTTTGAGATGATCTTCATGTAACATGTAACTCAGTGGGGAGAAAAGTGGATGATCTTCATGTAACATGTAACTCAGCAGTGGGGAGAAAACTATCTTGTACAATGGTTCTGTTTTGATGGATGGTCCACTGAAGGCTCTGGTCTGTGTCCGTGTGTGTATGGTCCTTGGCTTTCACTTATTTGGATTATAGAATCTGGGCTTTACAGCCTGACTCTGCTGCCTGCAGTCAAGATCTGTTCGCTGTTACACATGACTGGAGGATTATGGAAGTGAGAATCAAACATCTGTGACACTGATGGACGAGATTTGAAGTTTCTATATTAAACTTGACTAAAAAGTCAGTCTCTTATGTCTGTGGTTCTTTTTGTAAGATTAAAAAAATGCTGACTGTAAACAATTCCCCAAACATGGAACCTGTCACTGTGTCAGACATCTGTTTCTACCTGAGCAACCATAACCAAAGGGAGACACTCCTGATGTTTGTTCTTTGGTTTTGTTTTTTTTTTTAGATAAATTATTTTTTCCCCATCTGGAAAAGAAAACAGTTTTGTCTCTGTGTGAAGTTAAAGAATGTCCACTTGTCCTTTAATGCACACATTAAATGTGGTTTCTGGACGTATGTTGGTTCATGTGTTGGCAGGAAGATGCAGAAGTTAAACTCTGATCTGGTCAATGTCTCTCTCACTTCTTCTTCCAGTCATCAGCTTTCAGGAAGAGTCCTAATCTCTTTGACTGTCTATGTGTGTGTGTGTGTGTGTGTGTGTGTGTGTGGTTAGTGATTAGTCAGATGTCCTGTTAACCTCTGTTGTCACTGGCAAGTCTTCAGTTCTTCTTCTTTTCTAAGATATTGACTTTTACCACATATAAAATGTTGTTTTAATTGTTTTACGTTGAAAGGCCTAAAGTTTGTCGTTGTAGTACTCATTCCTAATGACACCACGTCATCACAAGCACATTACCAGCAACATATATAATAAAATATAGTACATAGTTCAAAACATCTTAAAGCACAGGAAGGATGAATTAGGTTGAGCTTAATAAGTTAAACAAAATTTCAGCCATAAATGTGTCAAAGGTAGCTTTAAAATGCTGAGATATTTAAGAAAAAAAGAAGAGGTTCTCTGTATTTTATTTTTATTTTATTTCCATTGGACCAAAACTACAGCCACACATGTTTGTCCCTGTCTCTGAACAGCAGTTTATTATGAAGCTCTGTGGTTTAAAACAAAGACTGGCTTCACAACAGAGGAAACAAAGTCTTCAAAGATGAACCAGCACTGAGTCATGACACACTTACACATGTGTGTGTTTGTTTTTGTGTCTGTGTCTGCCATTACGATTTACTGAAAAAAAGAAAGCATAAATTAAAAAAATATACATAACAAATCAGAATTGCAATATTGGGGAAAAGATTTAAATTAGACTATTTTCCCAAATGATTCAGCCCAAATTCAGAGCTTATTAATGAAATTATTATTATTAATATTATTATTATTAGCAGCAGTAGTAGTATTAGAATTTGTATTATATAATAATATTAGTAGTTGTAGTAGATGTTGTAGTAGTAGTAGTATTGTTGTTGTTAAATAATAACGATAATAATGAAAGTGTGACGTGGAATTTAGTGGAAAATAAAATGAGTGAATGAACTGAACTGAACTTAATTTAGTGTTTCCATGACACACTTGAGAGTGGCCTTCTATTGCCTTCTACTCCTGCTACTCCTCGTCTCCCCTTCCCCCCTCACGCACACTCTGTCGGGGCCCCTTACTTTTCATAACAAAAGGCCTGCTCTCAAGCGAGCGTGTGGCCCAGGATTGCGTGGCAGAGTAGAAAGCTGTGCATCTTGAGTGGGAAGCGCTTGTGTGTCAGGTGTCACAGACATCTGTGCACAGGACTCGCCCGTGAACGTGGTACATCTCAGTTGTGTATCTGGGCCTGATCTTTGACCCCGGACCACCACTGAATACCCCTCCCCTGTGTCTCCTCCTTCTGGTGGATAGAATATGAAAGTAGTCTTGGACACGTTTGTGTCACGGAGTCGGAGAGTTTTCCGGAAAGGTGGGAGGGTTTGTGAAGAAATTGGAGCCCAGACGTTGCAACATTTTTGACACGAGCTGCGGAGTCTTTGCTGGTGAGCTCAGCGCTGTTGTTTTTGTTTTTTCAGCTCTGGTGTTTGTCTCTGCACCCCCCACCTCACCCCACGACACACACACACACACACACCCCTCTTTTTTTCTTCCCCGATTCTTTTTCTTCCCACTTTCTTGCTTCTCACTGTCCCTGTGTGCCGGTCATTTGCAGTTCAACCCAAACCCCCTCCACTGCCTCAGCTGGGGGAGTGGATATGTGTTGGCTTGAAGGCTGTGCAGCTTTCAAGGCCTCTCAGAGGTCACGGCAACCATGTGTGTTAAAATCAAAGAGTTCTCTTTTACACTTGGTTCCATTCACTACCAGGCAGCAGCTCACCTCAGGTGAAGGACCTTTTTGGGGACACGCCTCAGTCCTTCACATCTGAAAGACATCCAGTTATTTTTTAATCCATTTGAGAGAATATTCAGTGATCACTAAACTTGGTTAAAGCAGACGAACGCTTCGCTGTGGCGCTTCACTGTCTAATGAACGTTTCTGTCTTGTCACCTTTCACAGAGAAGCAATGAGGAATTACCTGAAAGAGCGGGGCGACCAAACCGTCATGATCCTGCACGCAAAAGTTGCACAGAAATCTTACGGCAATGAGAAAAGGTAAGTGCAGCAGTTGGACTGTTCTGATTTATTCACTCTTCACAATCAGCTTACGAGGCTGGCTGTAGGAGTGGTGAGGGTTGATAACCTCCGTAAACTGCAGTCAGTCCAGTCAATCATCCAAAGCCAAGAACAGTGTGAACAAGATGGAATGGAACTGTGTGACAGAGGCACAGCAGTGGATTAACAGAAGGTGGTGAGATCTGCTATGATTAGAGTGAATAAAAAATAACCTGGAAAAGCACACAAACAGGGTTGGTACGAGCATCAGTGTCAGCTGACTGACATTGACCCCAGCTGACATATGTACCAATATATACGTGTGTGTGTGTGTGTCTAGGCCATGCACGTAGTAGGGAATCCCTGCTTTGTCATTGGTTGAAGAAACTAGATACAGGATGTCTTCTAAGTCTTCAGAGAAGGTGGACAAGGTGAATAGTCAGGAAGTCTAAGATTCATCAGTTTAGAACTAACCTGAGGAGAGGACATGTTGGACCAAGGACAAAGACATGAAGATGGTGTGAAGAAAAACACCTGAGTCATTTGACGAATCAGGTGATGGATCAACACAACCACAAGTGTGGTTTTGTCACAGAGTGTCACCTTAAACCCTAGCACAGACAGGGATTAGTTTAAAGCTAGCACGACAGTATTTGTAGTTGATATTACACACAGGCCTCCACAGACAAGTCAATATTTAGCAGACAGATTAAAAATGAGACTCATCTACGTACTTTAAGGCTGAACTTTATTTTTTAATTCTTTGATGTACGTCACCTCAGTTTTTATCTGTCTGCTAATCTGAGCTGTGTCTGGGCTTACCTTCCCTGTTGATGAACCGGTCGTAACTTGAAGGTACTGTTTGGGTATTTTTACTTGCATTCATTATTTTCCTAACCTCAAAAAAGTATGGACACCCATAAATCAGTGTAAATCCATTTACACCTCCTAACCTCAAAAAAGTATGGACACCCCAGTTTTGAGTAAATCCATTTTCGCAGGGACCTGTTGTTGATTAAATCACTGGATTCTTGCAGCTAATCCCTGGAATGTTATTAGTTTCTGCTGAAAACCAAGCACTTGTCCTTGTTCTCAAGTCCAGGTTCATCTTCGTTTGTGAGAATTCATGTCCAGGTCATGGGAAAAAATCACTGACTACTGTGTGTTGATCTTCACCTCCCATGTGAAAAGAGGTCAGACTAGGAAGTGAGCATGTCCTCCCCTGCCAGACCACCCCGTGTTCAAGTAGAGGCAGTTGAGAGATGGAAGGAAGAGCAAATTAAAGACAAAGACACTTTGGGGTGTTGCAGCTCAGTGACACTAAATAGTAAGAGGTCAAGGTCACACAGGTCACAGCCCAACTCTGTCTGTCATTGTTTATTGGACAGTCACTCTACAGTTCAAAGATGACTGTGACCAACTGTTGCAACTTCTTCCTTCTCTTCTGAACTCCGACACTTCTTCAAAACCAGCCTGGGTTCTGACCTTTTCACCTCTCACTCACTGAGTTTCACAGCTTCCTCCTGTACCTCTTGCTGCTCTCTTCGTCTCTGCATCCTCCACCGGCAGGTGCAGCTCTCAACAAATCATCTGTTGTTGCTGAGTCCTTTAAACAATGGTTTTTAGTTGAAATGGTCCCTGGTCTAGGTGAGGTGAAGGTCCAGATTAACCCTGCCCTTCAGTATCACCTTCATGACAATCCTTTCATTGGGATTTAATCTGTCAAATCAACACAGCAGTAGTCCGCTGTATGACAGAATACATTTTTAACTCTAAACTTTAAACTACGTTGAAAGATTGAGAGTAGAATAAACCGAAACATTGAATATAAAATGGACACATTGAATAACAGTTACAGTAGACTGGTATTAACTCATCAGTGATACAAAATAAATTATTGAAATTTAAATACATTTTCCCTGTTTTTTCCCTTATTCACTAAATCTCCACGGCTGCGGCTGCTTTCACGTTACCAGACTGTGACCATAGGTTTTTATCTCTCTTTTTCTCAGCCATGTATTTGTAACCAGCCACAGACAGTCCCAGAGGGAGGTGGACTGCTCCACAGTCAGAGGCAGATATTTGCATAGAGGACACACACACACACAGATATGAACTTGCATCGTGTCCATTTTCTTGCACACTCTTGTTATGTTACAGAGAGATGTAGTCTGAGGTGCCAGACAGAGGACACCAGGTCATTGATGTGACGTGTGTGTGTGTGTGTGTGTGTGTCTTTTTCCCCCCTCCCTATTGCTGGTCTTGTTCTCTGTGCTTTTTATAGGAGGTGAAAGCAGACAAACACCCACAGAGACAGACAGCACTGTTGCGAAATAGGTCGCTTTCCAGTTCCACACTGACGCGCATGAATTCATTTCATCTGTGCCACCTCACACACATACGCGTACACACACACACACTAAAGCAAGTTCCTTTCACTTTGAACAAAAGTCAGGTTATGACTTATGAATGGTTTTTCCAGTAGAAGGACTTTTCTTCTTTTTTTACCAACATTACAGAAAAACTAACATTTCCAAGAAATGATTGATTATAAATGAAAAAAAAATCACAAAAACAGCTTGTTTAAATTTCCAAACATGCCATATTTTTGTAGCTGGACTCAAGTTTGTAACATCTGTTAAATCAGGTTTTAAGGCTGGACTAAAGAAATTGATGACGTTTGACAAACGTTCCTGAATTTGATTGTGGAAGTCGGGTGCCCTCTACTGGTCATGATGAAGAGATGCAACGTTCAAGTTCATCTGTTAAAGTGATTTGTTGACTAGAGAAGAATCTAATGCAAGATTAAAAGAGTAGAATAGGTCTCACAGTCTGTTTAAAATCTTAATTTTCATCACGTTTAAAAATGCTTGATTCTGAAGAGCAGAGAGATTTGATTTTGTTTTTTTTTACCTATTGACTGTACATGGATACGCATTAACCCAAGTGTAAGTATACTGTATTATAAACCTAGGTAAGATTTAGGTAACCCTTAGGTAGAAAAGCTCCACTTATCTGATACAAATCCAAGATGACATTTCAAATGAGACGAACCTGGAGCTAAGAGCTGCACAGACTTGAACATAGCTTAAACTGAGATAAATCTTTAACAATTTCTGATTCTGATGTGTAGCTATCAAACAGGTACTCATAAATGTTGGATTGGATTGATTGGCTTCAGCTCCTCCGTAAGCCTATAGAGTCATATTAATGTTAGAAAATGAATGAACGGATAATTTTGACATTGTCTTTTAATGTATCCAAACACGGAGCAGATACTGCCTGAAGTTTGGCCAAAGGACAGCGACATTTAAAGTTCATGAGAGCCACCCTGATCCTCCTTGTGTCCAGGTTCTTCTGTCCTCCCCCCTGTGTCTACTTGATGGGCAGCGGCTGGAAGAAAAAGAAGGAGCAGATGGAGCGGGACGGCTGCTCGGAGCAGGAATCGCAGCCCTGCGCCTTCATCGGCATCGGAAACAGCGACCAAGAAATGCAGCTTTTGAACTTAGAGGGAAAGGTTCGGCGCACACACAAACACACAAACACACACCTTTTACCACCTTCTGGTGTCACATGTAATGATTTGCACTGATATATGTGGCTGTGGAGTTGAAGGATTAAATTGCAACTCTTTTCCTTTTCTTTAGCACAAACACTAAAATAAAAAAAATAAAAAAAGTTACAGACAAATAGTCAGTGCTGAAATTCCAGAGAAAAGGGTCGGTCGGTCCTGGTTGATCCTCATCCCTCACCGACCCTCCAAATCTTTTTTCATATGTCTATCCTATTGGTTTTAAGGGCTAGTGGAATCCTTTAAGTTGTATTGTTGCACGCTGCTGGTTCTGTTTTACAGTGCTAAGCACTTACCTTATGAAAAGATATAAAAACCAGACAGAGGGCAGTGTTGATCAACTCACCACCATACACTGATAGTGGTTCATTCAGTCTGAAGTATAACTTCCTTTTCTCTTCCCACACTCAGAACTATTGCACAGCCAAAACTTTGTACATATCCGACTCCGACAAGAGAAAGCACTTCATGTTGTCTGTCAAGATGTTCTATGGCAACAGCGCAGACATCGGCGTCTTCCTCAGCAAGAGGATCAAAGTTATCTCCAAACCCTCCAAAAAGAAACAGTCCCTCAAAAACGCTGACTGTGAGTATTTTACTCCTCATCTTTGTTTTTGTTTTTTAAACAAAACATGCTTCAACTAAAGGTTTTTCTGAATATGAGCAAAAACTTTAAAATTACTCATGCCGCAGTATTTACTTCTTTATTAGTAATTTTGTTGCTGTATTTCACTTTCTCATTTTTTATTTTAGTTTCTTCACTTCTTATCTAAAACCCTTTTTTTCTTTACTTTTGAATGTCACCAGTGTGTGGTTGATAAGGTCTGATGATGATGTTGGCTTTTGTCACCATGGTCGTGTGCTATAGTTCCTGAACACTGGAGGGCAGTGTAGCTCAACATCAATGATTTTGTCATATCACATGTATGACACCTGGGTTTGCAGCTGTCAGCTCCTCACCCTTTCTTTCACACTGCTAACAAACACACACACACAGTGTAATCTGCTTCCATGTTTGTCCACAGTGTGCATCGCCTCAGGGACCAAAGTTGCACTGTTCAACCGTCTGAGGTCTCAAACAGTCAGCACTCGTTACCTACACGTGGAGGGAGGGAACTTCCACGCCAGCTCCCAGCAGTGGGGGGCGTTCTACATCCACCTGTGTAGGTTGTCTTAACACCTGTGTATCTGCAGCCTCCATCACCGTCACTACTGTTGTTTCCTTGCTTCGCTGTCCAACTCAGACAAACATTCTTAGACGTTGTCTCTTCTTCCCAGTGGACGACGAGGAGTCAGAAGGAGAAGAGTTCACTGTGAGAGACGGTTACATCCACTATGGTCAGACGGTCAAGCTGGTCTGCTCCGTCACCGGCATGGCTCTGCCCAGACTGGTACGGTCCATCCACCACTACACTCTACACTACACTCAGGAAACAACACAGAGTAACTGAAGTGAGCTGAAGTCAGGGAGATAATAAGGAGAACACACATCCGACCTTCCTCAAACACACGTACATTCTGCGATTGAACGTTGAGCTCAGTACGTATGTTGGAGGATCAGGAAGAAGTTCTGCTGTCCCTCTGTCCCATTGTCCTACTGTCCTACTGCCCCACTGTCCTATTGAGTAAACATAATATAACAGATTAGGTATGTGTACAGGTCAGTGTGAGTTTGGAGCTGTATATGTCCTTATAAGGTAGACCTGACTTTTTAAAGGAGGTTTCTCAGTTAATTTTTACCTTCCACAAAATATATTGATATATATTTTATTAAAACTTCTATAGAATACTGTATTGTCGAGTTCCACCATGCTCCACAGGATGCTACATATTTTCAAGTATAGACTCCCCATGGTTATTCTGGAATAGCTTTGTTGGACCGTGTTTAGTCTTGATTGGATTTTTGACCTAACAACTAATAGGCATTTGTATAAAGAAAATACATTAGTTCATATAAATCTGGATAAATGATAAATGTGAAGTGTGTTATGACCTTGCGTGACTTTCGTGCCATGAAATATATAGTAAATGAATGAAAGTCCAAATTTGAACAAGGCTAACATTTAACCATTTGTGTAATCTTTTAAAGCTACATTTTTACCTTGACTTTTCATATTTTCCTTCCTTACTCCTATCCTGACTCTTCACAGTGTTGTTCCCATTCCTCCCTCCATCCTGAGATCACTAATCCTTCACTCACCCTTCACTTATCTCCCCTCAGATTATCAGAAAGGTGGACAAGCAGACAGCGCTGCTGGACGCCGACGACCCCGTCTCCCAGCTGCACAAGTGTGCCTTCTACCTGAAGGACACGGAACGCATGTACCTGTGCCTTTCCCAAGAAAGGATCATCCAGTTTCAAGTCAGTGTCTGATCCTCCAGCCTCCTAATCTCATTATCAACAGATTAATTCCCAGTCAATCTAGTCGTCCTTATGTGTGATTGAAGAACTCTTAAGCTCTGAGCTCATCCTTTCATGTCTTGTTATTTCCATCCTGTGTTGGTGGTCTCACCTTCAGCTCGTTGACTTAATTTGGTCAGATGGTGGCACAGTTGGTTTGCAACAGAGTGGCTGTTACTGTTGGTACCAACCCCAAACTCTTATCTGAAACCTTGACATTTCTCTGTTTCTCCCTTCCAGGCCACTCCATGCCCAAAGGAACCAAATAAGGAGATGATCAACGACGGAGCCTCCTGGACAATCATCAGTACAGACAAAGCCGAATACACTTTCTACGAGGGCATGGGCCCGGTCCACTCACCTGTCACGCCTGTGCCTGTAGTGGAGAGTCTACAGGTGTGAAAACTGAAACATTTTCAACAAATCCTAGTACCAGGAACCAGTCACAAGGCACTGAGCATTGTCAACATGACTGCGCCTAAAAATAATGAACATAAAGTGGACCGGCCCCCCACTTTGGGAACCATTGGGTTACAACATGGTCACATGGAGCCTAACAATGATATGTGATGATTTTAATATTTATTATGTAAAATTACCAAGAAATGCCTGAGAGACTTCAGAAATCAAAACTGACTCAAACTCTCCTGGACTCTACACTGCCTCCTGCTGTTTTGCTCTGGTAGATCCTCTGTGAACATGAAGGTAACAGCAGTGTCTTCTTCCCTGCAGCTAAACGGTGGCGGTGACGTGGCAATGTTGGAGCTGACGGGACAGAACTTCACTCCTAATCTTCGGGTCTGGTTTGGAGATGTGGAAGCTGAGACCATGTACAGGTAAAATCATGGTCCACTGTCAAAGTTCGTGACTTAATTGGCCTCTGGTGTAATGCTGGGGTACCTGTAAGAAACATTGTTCTTTGGTTCTAGGTAATTTTATTGTAAAATTATATAGTCACAGGCTGGAAAGTATATATATATATACACACAACTGACCCTCTGAGTTCCTTCACAGATGTGCAGAGAGCATGCTCTGTGTGGTACCAGACATCTCTGCCTTCCGCGAGGGCTGGCGCTGGGTGCGACAGCCGGTGCAGGTGCCCGTCACGCTAGTTAGGAATGATGGCATCATCTACTCCACCACGCTGACCTTCACTTACACGCCGGAGCCTGGGCCACGGCCGCACTGCAGCGCTGCTGGTGCCATCCTACGAGCAGGAAACTCCAGCCTGCTGAGCGCCAACAGCCAGGAAGCCATCTACGGCCCCAACAGCACCTCCACTGCCGGAGGAGTCACTTCCTCGTCCTCCACCGCTGCAGCGGCGGTGGTCTCCTAACGCACACCAGCCCCTGAGAGCAGGTGAAGCCGAGTGTGTGCAAAGACTTCTGGGAAATATTAATAAGAATAATAAGAAACAGAGAGTGACTCTAAAGTGCTGTGTATTCATGTTTGGAGACAAAGAAGCTGAACATGGAGGAAAAACAATGGGACAAAAGGAGGGCAACAAGGGAGGAAAAATCTGAAGAAGGAGCAACATCATAACACTGTCATCTCCTGGGCAACGTCCTCCCTCCTCCTCCACCTTCTCCTCCTCCACCACCTCCTACTGCTCATGTGCCGACTTTAG